CAGCTCCAGCTTTGCCAGCAATGACTGAGAGCAGGAGACAAAGTCTGAGTGTGTGCAGATGTGGGGCTTGGCGCTGTTTGTGAGGTTCTGTGGGATTTTCTTGGCAGAGGAAATGAACATTCAGCAAGCAGAGCAGCGGACAGGCTAACAATGCTCAAAGGAAGCAACCTTGGAACGCTGAAAATATCTCATAAAAAAGCTCCCTTTGAGCAGCACACATGAGTAAACTGGAGAGGGAGAAGATGATGATGGGGTTTTTTTTTTTCCTCTCTAAATAATTTTCAACATTTAGCTTTTTATTGACTTCTTTTCTATATTTAAATAGATATTTTGACTCATTCTGTTCAAGGTTCATGCAGGTTCCAGGAACATCTAATTCTCTGTCAGTGCTGCTTTTCTTGTGGAGAAGTAATTTACATTTTTGTGTATTGACTGTACTGAACACACATGAAATTTGATTCTAGGACAGATCTGTAGTCAAAAAAGCCCCAAAACTGAGTTAAACACTTTATTTTTGGGGCTGCTTCTGATGGAAGGGAGCTGTGAAGTGATTCCCTCTGGAGAGATGGGACACCAAAGTGACGCAAAACCTGGCCAGAGCCCTGCAGATCCTGCTTGTAGACTTCAATGATGTTTATGTTAGTTATACTCCGAGATTTCTGTGATTCTAAATCAAACCTGATGTTTACAGTTTTTACCTGGTACAATCACTCCACCTGTATCTTGTATCAAATCTTGGTCCTAGTGCACAGAACCTTGATGAAGATGATTTTATTCAAGAGGGGGGAAAAAGCATTTTAATTGCATCATGAGCCTTAAAATTTGTTTTTGAAAATATTTTCTACCAAATCTTATTACCTGGAAATTTAGGGCAATATGGGAGAATAATTAGTTCTCTAAATTTACTTTTTTTGGTGGCAATTCTGTGAAGATTGCTTAAAAATCGAATGGGAAGCTGAGTTTCACAGTTTAGGCATATCTGTGTGTGTATCTGGTGTGAAGTCCACATAAAACTCAGATACTTGGGGACCTTAAATTCGGGTCACTCTCCAAGTGACCACTTGCTTAATTAGGAATAATTATTCTATATAACAATTTAGTTGCAATATAATGTTTTTGTAATGGGGCAAAACTCTTCAGACAGGATCCTATAGATGGGTACTTATTTTCTGAGCAACTTCTTGCTTATAATTTGCAAATAAGGTACTGATAATGTGCCCTGGGGAACATTTCAGTCCCTGCTTTAGCATCAGGCTCGGTGCTGCTGGGTTAATTCCTCACCCAGCACAGCCCTAGGGCAGCCCAGCTGGATGCAGCTCCCTGGGCATATTTTCATGCTGCATATGCAGGAATATCTGTGATTCACAGTATCTGTTCTGGCACTGTTGCAGATGATGGCACACTGTTCAGCACTGGCAAAGAGAGATAGAAGATGAAGGGAAGGAATATGACATCTTCTGAGATGAAAGATGCTCCAAGAGATACTTGATTAAAAGTACTGAGTTACCCCTAAGCAGTTAATTCTCCTCCTAAAGTAAAATCATCTTGTGCCTTCCATGAGTTACCATTTCTGAGTCCTGTCTCGCCAGCTCTGCTTCTTCTCTGCCACCTCCACATTTCATTAGCACCAAAAGTGGTTCCATCTTTGTCCCTAAGACCTTCTGAGAACTGGCTGTGGTGGGACCTTTGATCTGACACCTTTCACTTCATTACCGTGGAGACTGAAGCCACACTTGCTGCAGATAACTTTGTTTGTGATGGGTTTTCACACTCACTGCAGTGATTCCCGGGTTATTTACATGGGGGCAAATAGGTCAGCCATAAATGTGGATGTGTATTCCTCCCAAGGGTAATGGTCTCATTAAATTGTGTCTAATTGTAATGCAGACCTGTTTGTGTCCTTGCTGAATGCAAGCAGGACCCCCACCAGTTGAAGATGTGCCATTTTTTTAAACTTGTTTTGAGTCTATTACATCAATTATTTAGCTTAGGCCCCAGCTATGAATAATTTAAAGAGCCTCCAATTCTTACCAAGAAGAGTTGGATGTTTCCCAAGTCTCCTAATTTTTTTTCATTATAATCCAAGAGCTATTGTCTCTGATATTATCTCTCTGTTCCAGAGCAGTAATATTTTTATTGGTTTTGTTTTGTAGAGCCCGTGTACATTAAATTACATTTCGTTCTTGAACATTTCTGACACAGCCATAGTGATTCACCCACTAATATTAATAAAAAGGAGTGTAGTACATTTGGCTTTGTTGGAGAAAATCTAGCAAAACCAGAAATGTGGTGCCAAAAGATCAAGTAAAAGCAAAACATGATGCCAAAAGATCAAGAAGAAATGTATTTCACAAAGAAGAAATATTTTTAATGCATATTAGCACAAAGAATGAAGATTATTTAATCTGTTTTGACAGTACCTTTCCACAAATGCTTTTAAAAGCAGTTTCCTCTGTAGTGTGTCCCTTTTTGCACTGCTCCTTCTTATTCCTGCAAAAAAAAAGTGGAATGATGGTGGACCAGGAACATGGTGACAGGAATTGCATCATCCCTCAGGGGAGCCATTTGGAAGAGTCTTCAATCAACAGAGCCAAACATGAAGAAGAAGATGATAGAATCATCTCAGGGATATTTCACTCAAATAGGACTAAACAGAATTTATGGCACTCTCCCTACTGGAGATGTTTCAAGGCAAGAGCTGCAGTTATTCACAGAGTTACACTGCTCCTATCTCCTTTAAATAAAAATAAAAACTCTGAAAAAGCAATCCAGAAAACAACAAATCAGATTTCTGCTCATCAGCTTATTCATAAATCTGGTTCCAGAGTTAGGAGGCAGGAGAAGTTGGTATAACTGTCACTGTGGGGAAAAAAACTGTGCACCCATGAGCAACAGGCTCACTTTTTAATACCTTCATTAATGTCAAGCACCAGTATTGGCATTCACAAACAGCACCACAGGGTCGAAAATGAAAATGATTGAAGCAATGCTGTTAAGAAACGAGAACCAGACAAGAGCTAAATGATAAATTATGACAAAATATGGAATTAAAAAGATGGCTTTTATCAGGGCAAGGACTGATGTGATTAAAATTAAAGCTCAATCATGTGGCCCATCTTTCAGCACACTTCACTCATGTCCTGTCATATCAATGATAGCTGGGTAGTTGTTGAAGAAGTTTGCTTGGGTTTTTTAGGGTTTAGTGGGTTTTTAACCAACTGGAATTCATCTGAAGTTTCTGTTGAAGAAGCATTCACAGGTGGGGTTTTTTGTTGTCTCTGTCTCCTCTTTCTTTTTCGAGTGTGTGCCCAAACACCGCTCCCGTTCTGCAGCGCCTGGGCACACGCTGCCTCTTCTCCATCCCAGAACTTCCAGGTTTATCCTCCAGATCAAGACTCACAAAGTCCTGGCCATGGTGGATAAGGTGAATGCTGAGGTTTTGCCAGTGGCAGAACAACTGTTTTAATTATTTTTTCAATCGTTTCCCGAGCCTTTCTTCACTCTCCAAACAACCTGTAACACACCAGCTTTATCTTGTAATACACAATTGCTTATTATTTCAACTTTATTAAATAGTTTTAAAAGCCCAATTGAATAATTACGTCATGCTCTCCCCTTTTGCCCAATACCTTGTGTCTTGGAAAAGGCTGACTGCTTGTAGGTCAAGTTTTATCTAATTTATTTATCTAATTGTATTTTTCCTCGCATCCCTGGGTACTTGATAATGTTTGGAAAACATTGGCTGTTTTCCAGTGTGGTGCTGACTGCAACATGAGATTACTGGTGGATTTTTATTTTTTATTCTTTTATTTTCAATTAATTCTTAGATTTGTTGGGAATTCTGGAGTGAGGTTCCTGGTCAGGTGTGACAGGAAGGATTCCCTGCTCCTGGATCCCAGTCCCTGCTGGTTTCACTGGGGCTCCTCCGTGGTTTTGGTTGTGCAAACAGCAGGAACTGGTGTTTGTTCCTTGGAATTAGAGGTAGAAAATCCTCCTGTATCCATGAGCTCCCCATTCTTACTTTGCTTGGAAGTTTCTGGGGTGATCTTTGTGCATCCTTTGCGCAAAAGCTTTGTCAAGTCCCCCAAACCCCAGAGTCAGCACAAGGTGCCCCATGGAACGTGGGCATCACATCCCTGCTTAGGTCAGTACAGCAAAATAAACCAGATTTCTAAATAGCTTTGTTTAGGAAAAATGCTCGGTGATCAAAACCAAATTAATGTAAAATGTAATAATTGTGTTTTTAATTTTGGCACATTTTGAAGACATTGTTTACACTCATTTGCTCTTTCTTCATATCATTATAATAGAGAAAAGCTGCAGGTGGCTTTTCTTCTTCTTCTTTTTGGAGAAGGAGTGTTTGGGAAATAGGGAAGGGGTAAAACAATGTTATTAGTCCTTCAGAGTCATTAATATGAAGAAAGAAAAGTGCTCCAAAATTACTTGCTTACAGCTGCAGAACGTGTCATGGAGTAAAACCCACCTTCATTAAATGGGTGAGAAAGAATTCTAATTGTTTTGAAGTTCTTATGATCAGTCTGTATGTGCTTCATTGTAACATGATACTAAAGTGCCTCAATTATGATTTGTATATTTTGGTGCCAGAAGGGTTTTTTTCTTATGCTGAATTATTAAGTTCTGTCAGCTGCTGGGCTGTCATATAGAGATACAGTAAATCACATTATATTTTGTCATGGATTACACAGAGCAATAAATTTGGGAAGAGAGATCAAAGTAGTTTCACAATCACATCTGAGTGTAGGAGGGGTGTTTAACTTGTAGAAAATCTGATTTAGGTGAAACTGTTGCAGTTCTTGTGTGAATTTGAAATGAATTTAAATGTTTGCTTGAAAATGAATAAGGTACAAATCCCCAAAAGAGTTCTCCTGTATTTAGTTCAGAGGAGTTAATTCTGACCTACAGCTGCAGGACAGAGAACAGATAAATAATTAAACATTGGGAATGTTAAGAGTCTTGCAATGCCTTATTTATGTTTTTAATTGCTTTGATGATGGAGCAATATATTCCATTTTCTTTTTAATTGGCCTTTGCTGGACTTGGGAAGTTTCTCCTCGGCTCGGTGATGCGCTCTGGCTCCGGGAAGTTGTCTCTCTTTTGGGGAAGCTTTGTCATATTTAAAATACAAAAATTAATCCAACATAATCTTGCTAAGCAGCTCTGATGGCTTCAGATCACAGATTTGTTGGGGGATATGGTTGTATTTTCAGTGTCTGTCTTTCCAACTGTAGAAGCTTAACTTTTGTTGGGCTCTTGTCTAACGATGTAACTTCAAACACTGAGTTAATTTTGTGATACTGAGTTAATTTATTGATAGCAAGTTAATTCAGGGGTACAGTTTGTCCTTTGTTCCCACTTCTTCTTCCATTTAATAGCAAAGATTCTGTCTTAAAATGATACACACATAGAATGTTTTTCTACTCGTTGTCTTCTTAATAAATGCTTGTTCTTGCCACAAAGTTCAATTTAAGACAATGCAAAATCTAAAGACTTCATTCTTATCCCTTTGTAATTCTTTCAGGAGCCCTAAAGTCTCTCCTTGGCAAAAATCAAGGTGTGTGAATTTAGCTGATAAATAATTATAAAATGCCTGGGTCTCAGAAATCTCCAATTTCAGAAAGAATCAAGTTTTGTAAAGCTAAATTAAATAGTCTTTAACTGAGTCAAGTCATGGATCAGTGTCACATCTTGGGACTGTTGCCTTCTGTGCATGGAGGAAGCTTTAGCTTTGACTTGATGTGAAACATCTTCAGAGGTGTTTCCCAGCCTGTCCCCTCGTGCTTTGGCTGGGGGTACCAGAAATGGCTTTGCCTGAGTGATTCTGGAAACTTCTTCATGTCAGAGTGGGGGAGAGCATCTCATGTCACTCACGGGAGGAGTGAGGGGCCTGCATTCCTCAGGGATGAAGGCAGCTTGTCAAAACTCAAATAATTCCTGTTGGCTGCACGTTTTCTTTGTTCAAACTCTGAAAAAGAACATGCCAGCACTTTTTATGTAACATCTTAAACTCAGTTTAAATAACCATCTTTGTTTGGTTGGTTGGATGGAACAGGAGAAAAGCAGGAAATATTAAAATGGTGATCCAGGAATGTGATTTAAGGACTCTGAAGTGGAGAGGGTGCAGTCTCCCCATCTTCACCAGGTTTGCTCAGTCTTGTTGGAATGTGGAGCTGTGGGAAGAATTGTACCATAAATATAAAACCTGATCCCAAAATTGGTGAAATGGGAAGATAATGAGAAACCTTAACCCCAGCTGTCCAATGTGATGGATGGCAGATGAGAACAGTGACATCTGTGATGAGCATTTGAATCTCTTCATTTGCAGGAATCTCTGTCACCACAAAACACCACACTGATTCCACCAATGGTCATCTCACAGATGATTGGTGAGAGTAAATCTAACAAAAATCAGCCATCTTTGCCTGTGCTGTCCATGACCCCAACCCAGAGCTTATCACACCCAGCAATCTTTTGGTAAAATGTCCCAGAACCTCAGATTAAACCACAATTCTCTGCCAGCCCTCTCTGGGCTGCAACTCACCAGTGTTGTCTTCTGCAAAGGGTAGTTCAAGCATTAAACAATTGCATGTGGCAAACCCAGGCTGTTAATCTGGTTTTAAATCTTTAAATTTTGTCTTGTATGCAAGGCTGGTGTTTCAGGCCAGGTTGTTTGAAATAATGTGCCTGGCTGACAGCAATATTGACTGAAATCAGCATTAGTGATGCTGGGGAATGTTTAGGTGCCTATTAATTCCATTTAGATGAAGGTAATAATTAATTGTGTCCTGGTGCAAGGCTGGTGTAACCTGGGCATCAGCTGGAGTCCCACAGAAGGATTTCTGGGTGAGTTCAAAATGCCTGTATTTAATTCCTCTGCATAATTTCAGAATTACTAGAAAGACTCTGTTGGTTTAAATAATAAATCTGGAATTTGGAGGTTTCCTAAGGCACAGTTTGCAGAAGCAGCTTCTCAGTGGGCCCCCATTGAGCCCAGAACTGCAGAAAGGCAAATTCTCTGTGCAGGTACTGTCAAAGGCATTTCTATTCATTCTTGGGTTTTTCCCAATGAAAAGTACTTCACACATGAATGAGAGAGTTTTTTCTCCTAAAGATGTATGTTTAATGAATAAAAAAATAAAAAGGAAAAGATTTGTAGACCTCCAAAAGTGAAAATGTAAAATAGAATATTTAATAGGATTTTGGGATTTCTATCATTCATTTTCAAAACCCTTGAAGTCATTTGGTACTTGACTAATTATTCTGTTAACATCATTTTGGCTATTCAACTATTTTTAATGGTCTTTTGGGTGGTTCAGATTACATATTTGAGCTGTGTGTGCTATTTTCACTGCTGAGCAGAGATCCAGCTTTCATTTCTGTCTGATTGGTGGGGAGAGCAGGAGAAAGAGCAGGAGTTTGGTGTAGGAAGTCACCCCCTGTCAGTGTTAGAGGCACATAAGGAAAATGCATGTTTCAGGCTTTGAGTCAAAATGGAATTTTTATGTACAATCAGATGAACTTTAAAGGTGATCTGCTGATCTCTGAAGTTTAAACAGATATTGTACAGAGAGTTTTAACATACTTAATAACAAAGATTGCCACCATTAACCATTCTGAAGGTCATTTTCTTCTGACATCTATCAAATTACACAATCTTGAATTTTGGTACAAAGCATAATGCTGTCAAACTTAAAATAGAAATATTCCAGAATGTGGAGTGGTGTGTTGTTTTTTGAGGTAAATGGGCCCCATTTACATTAGTTCTTTGATGTTAAATTCCTTGCTGCACATCAGAGAACAGTTGCTTCTTCCCTGGAGCAAGTTTTCTTTCTTCTTCTTCCCCCACCCTTTGATTTTTTTTTTCCTCCTTTTTTTTCTTCTTTTTTTTTTTTTTTTAAAAGTTTGCTTACACTTTTATCTAACTAATTATGGAGGATCAGCTTATGGATGGCCACTTTTAGCTAGTTGCAGGCATTTTGAAAAATGATTCTTTCATATCTACTACCCTAAACAGAAAAAGTTCTTTAATCTGCTGCTTCTCTATCAGTGAATATGGTGTTGTGTGTGTGTATATATATATAAAAATCTAGTTATGAGAGCTCTTTCCAAAGCTGGAAGATAGAGAAATATGGAATTATTCAGGTTGGAAAAGATCTCTGAGGTCATGGAGTCCAACCATAAAGTCAACACTGCCAAACTCATAATTAAATTCTGATTGTTGGGGTTGGAAGGGGCCTTAAAGCTCCCCCAGTGCCACCCCACAGGGAAGGATTTTCCCCCAGTATCTTACCCAATGCACAGATTTAGGGTAGGACATGGTGTGCTTTGTGATGTGGTCCTGTCATAGATCCTGGGCTCTTTTACTGATGCTGTTCTGTTCCATGAGAGGAGAAAGTGAAAATGGGAAGAGCATCCATTAGTTCAGACACCACATCTGGATATAATTTAAATAATAATTTATTAATTTAAATTTTTTGTTTTAATTTTTAATTTGTTTTGTTTTGATTTTTTTTGTTTTGATTTTTTTTTGTTTTGATTTTTTTTTTGTTTTAATTTTTACATGAAATGTTTTGTTGAAGTCCATGCAGTTTTGCTCAGCAACCACAATATGATGCTTTAAGGCTTGTTAAAGAATTACAGTTGGTTTTTAAAACCAATTAACTGCAGCAAGGGCATAATCTTTTTAATGCAAAAGTCCTCTGTAATATAAAATAACTGCATGTAAAATCATCATAATCAGCTAATTTTAGCTAAAATATGTATTAACTGTGTGAAACTAAACAGGAGTTAGTTTTTGAATCAGTGGAATTCCTCTGCTGCTTATCCAATTTAAATCTTTTTCATTACAAAAATGGATATTCCAGTTGATATTTCTGACAAGCCTCTGCCAAGTGGGAATTTCAGCAGCCACCTCTCACACACACAAAACTGGTTTCAGACCATTAACTCTATTTGCAGTGCTGCCCATTGCTATAAAAAGAGCTTGACTTTAATGAACACTGGCTGACCCTCCAAATGTTCACCTTCCACTTGGATTCTTATTCATTATGTTTCTGAAATAGCAGCTAACCTGAAAGGGAGGGAATGCCCTTAAAATAATTCAGAAACAGCTCGTGCTTGCTCCAGCACGTGCACCCAGCAGCCAGCTGGAACAGAAGGAGCCCGGGAAACTTCTGTGTGTGTGCACCAGGCCAGTGTGAACCTTCTCATTTATCTAGATAAACTTGGTATAAATCCCCCCTGATGTTCCCTCTACACAGCTCTGTGTGTATTTACTCATTCCCTAAAACAAAAAAGAGTAAAAAGGCATTTTCTGTGCATAGCAGGGCCCCAGGGAAGGTGGTTTGTGTCTCCCTTGGTTGCAAAGCAACAGCCTGTGTAAAGAGGTATTAAATTAGTTTTAGTTGCAGGTTTTGAGAAAGGAGAAGCTTCATGTTTGTGCAGTTAAAAGATGGCAGTGGAGAAGAGGGTGCCCAGGCAGCCCCACGAGTTGGATCTTTTCAGTGCTGTAAATTGTGGTCTGTGCCTTCATCAGAGCTGCTGGTGTGGTTGGTGATGATGCAAGAGCTGCTGGGTGTTACAGAAACCCAGGGAAGAGCTGAAGTCAGCAGGAGCCACAGGATTATGGAATGGTTTGGGTTGGAGGGACCTTAAAGCTCATCCCATCCCACCCCTGCCATGGCAGGGACACTTCCACTGTCCAGGTGCTCCAGCCCCAGTGTCCAGCCTGGCCTTGGGCACCTCAGGGATCCAGGGGCAGCCACGGCTGCTCTGGGCACCTGTGCCAGGGAAAAATTCCTTCCCAAAATCCCATCCAACCCTGCCCTCCATCAGTGGGAAACCATTCCCCTGTTCCTGTCACTGCATGCCCTTGTGAGAAGCCCTTTCCAGCATTCCTGTAAGACCCTTTGGGGTACTGGCAGGGAATGTCCATAGTGCCACATAGTGATTTTTGTGCCACAGGGCCAATATAACCAGTTTTAGTCAACCAGAGCCCACAGAGCTGTGCTTGTGCTGTCTCCAGGGCAAGCTTTGGGAACTCAGTACCCCTGAAATTCAGACGCCTCAAGTGTTTGGGACTGGAAGAAAATGCAAGAATTTGTGGTTTGTTGGCGACTGGGAGACAAAACTTATAATTTTTTTGCTAACTGGAAGTTGTTAAAGGCATTATAAAATAAAATGTTGCAATTTCTTTTTAGTAAACTGGTAGGATATCCATTCTTTGCCTTTAGTTCTGAAGAAAAGAATAAAACAATAATGAAATTCAGAGCATCTTTCTTTTGGATCACCTCTGTCCTGTCTCTCAGAGGTCAGCCCGATTCTACTCAGTGTGAACAAACAAATTCTAATTTGTTTATGGAACTCATGAGTGGTTCTTTATTATTTATTGGGATTTCATCTGTGGGTTCAGGAGGTTATAAAGCTGCTTCTATGAAAGATGAGGACTTTTACCCCAGGCAAGTTGAGCGAGAGCAGCTGTAACGTGATCTGTGCAGGGCCTTGCTGACGAGTCCCTCTCCCTTTCTGGGACTAACAGTAATTTATGCTATTGCTGTAATTTATTTTTTTACTTTTTTCTCTAAAGATAAACTGGCAGTTTCGGTCACTTTATGACATGCAGTGGTGGTAAAACATCATCTGAAACTGGGCTGCAGTACAATGGAACGAGTGTTAACGTGGGTCAGCCCGAGTACAAGGAGAAACAGAGCATGGACAGAGCTCCCTGGGATAGCTGGGGCTGTGTCACCACTCCTTTTATTTATGCACCCCCACCATGGGCCCTTACAGTGTTTGTGGTTCACTTTTGAGTGATA